TTCATGTGGATGGTAAGAACTAGGCAATCAATCTTTTATGCTGAAATATCGACTGTTAGCCGATAGTGAATAATTTTTGTGATTAGTAACTTTACAAAGAGAACAGCTCGAAAAATAGGCTCACTGAAAATGTCCATCAGCTCCCCGACATATGTGTGAAGGTTTCATCTTCTTTTCCAGCATTTCCACAGTAACCATTTCCAGTTCCGCCATTGTTAAATTCAGTGAGATTTCAACCATCCTATCGTTAGCGGCGTCCGTATTTACGACGTAGAATACCGAACCCATGTAGATGTATGAACACACGGATTTGATTTGAGTTGCTTTTACCCATTTTGATTCGTATCCCAGTATTTCATCGGCGGTTAAATGAATGTGACTTGATCCCGATTCTCGCTTAAACCCCACGAATCCAGGGTATATGGTAGAGGTTAGTGTTGGGAAAAGATAAACATCGTTGATGCCCCGAGTTTTCCACAGATCGGATAATTCATACTGAACAAGCGACTGACCTGATGAATATGCTACTTGTTTTACTACAAAAGTGAGTAACAGCAGTAAGGAAGGCATGGGCAATATTAGCAGCTTGCCTTTCAGTTATTTCGGGGTTGTTATTGTTCCACGCTAGGTGTGACGCACAAGCGGATGGGGATAACTGGCTGGGACTGGAAGCTAACAACATATCTGTGAAGGCGAGGCCGAGATGATGGTCAATCATCGGCCAGTTTTATGCGATAAAACATGGTCAGGTTGCGTAACGTGAACAGATTACAAGCCGAGTGAATTGAATACAAAGCAAAGTGATCGATGGCCAGAATATCTTTGATTTACAAAAGCACCGTAACTACATACAAGTTTTGAAAAAATTGCAGTTGCTACTTAACCCTCAACAACTTTCGATAATTTCTTCTTGCAACGATTGTGAAAAATGAAATTGCAGTTGCTGCTTTATTTTTTTAACGTTTAGACCTTCATCTCGGAAGTAGAAAGCAGTAGATTTTCACCATTAAACACAGCATATAACGTTAAGAAGAAGAAGATGGTGCAATTTTTGTATTAGATACCGCTGAAGAGGAAGATGGCGCAGTTTTTGTATTAGATACCGCTGAATATAGTGTTGTCACTTTGTAGATCCTTTAATATACATGCAACTATTGGTCAGAAAGTGTCATGGAATACCAACCAAATAACAAGCCAAGTTGTTTGATACCGACCGCTATACCAGGGCTATGAGTAGTCCTGCTTGTAGCCGCTTTTTTCAGAGGTTTTTAGAAATTTCCCACTAAATCTGCTAGTCTTCATTTCGTATTATCTGTTTTATGCAACGAATTGGTGATGCAAAGCAGTATCAATCAGCGCTGACGATTCTCTCAGTGCTTTTTCTGACCTTCCCTAGTAGCCCAAGCTGTTGCAAAGCCTAATACCTACTCTTTCAGTCGAATTATTAGAGAATGAAAAGCAGTCACGGCTGAGAAAAGTTATGATGTTATCCTGAATAAGTAAGAGCAACTTAGCATAAAAATTCTTTAGAAATAGTTTACAAAATGACTCTAAGTGACTTATTGCAGATATCTACGGAGTTACAATGATGAAGGTGGCTGCAATGGAAAACTGGGGTGATTCTTCAATATTACTATGTAGTAGATCGATTTATCTCATTTATCTTACAAAGGAAGGATACCTATCCAAAATGGCGATTTAAAAAGCGATGTACACTGGCATATGCAGCGCGAATCACTAGTTTTAGTCTGTCTTCATCATCTGCCAAATGTTTATCTGGAATATTTTTTTGTTTTTGCTCTCACTGTAAGTTTCGTACGCGACTTATGGAAAATACTCAAAATCTCACTTTGACCCAACAGCACATAAGCTGACTGTTAATTATTTATTTATACTATCAAAAGTAATCTCTTGCAATTATATGTACGTTGTGATTGACGACAATCATTTAAAAGCTGTCCAAGACTTTTTTTGCAAAGAAAAATATTCCTAAAATCCTTTCAAAGACGCAATTGGAAAATTTGAAAGTTCCATAGCATTTCTTCTAGTAGTATACATCGTTTTTCTGAATCGCCACTTCGACCAAGTATCTTACCCGATTCAGCCTCAATCTCTCGTTTAGGTCTCATTACTGTCCGCCAAAAATTGCTCTTAAATAATAGCACCATCTCTACTCTAACGGAAGCTCGTGTCACGTCGGTTGTTCTTGCTCACGAGATCGCCCATCAGGTGGAAGAGAAGTGCATGTTTGCATGAAAAGCGGTAAGAGAAGATTTTTAGTGGTTCGGCAATTTGGTGACCATGAAGTGGTGGGATGACCTTTGGTTAAACGAAGGTTTTGCGTCTATGATTGGTTTGAAAGCAAACGATATTGTGGACAATGCACCGCTTAGTCAGGTGAGTTTGCAAATGGAAAGGTTTCACTTTGACGGTGGCATTTTTAGACGAAAGTGTATGTGTGAATTTCTGTTCACG